CTTTAAGATATATTAAACTACATAGTTTCTTTAAACGTTTTTAAATGTTATCTTTTATTTTGAAATATTTTATCTGCTTTTGTTTTTCTGAATATTTTTATTTTATTGCCCATTAATTCTTAGTTTTAGTTGATCATATGGTTGAGTTTCATATAAATACTATCGTATTTGGTTTGGTGAAATAAAATAAATACAATAAATAATGTTTTGTAACATTTGAAGCTCTTACTGTCAGTAACCAGGGAGCGCACCGAGGTGACCTGTCTGCGCCCCAGGCCGTGGCTCCTGGACAGGACGCAGTCCAGGTAGATGTCCCAGAAGACCCGGGCCAGGTCCCAGAACAGCGTCGTGTGCTTCTCGTTCTCCGAGGACCTGAGGGTCCCCATCAGGTCCCAGAAGGCGGGCACCGTGTCCGCGATCCTCGGGGAGCGCATCTTCAGCAGCAGAGCCGAGGAGGAGTCCCAGCACTGCGGGTCCGCGCGGTGGGCGCTCAGGGGGTCCACCTGCTCCGGCTTCTGGGCCCGCAGCGGCACTGTACACGTGCAGGTCAGCACCAGCACCGCGGCTGAGGCCAGGTTCAACAGAACCGGGACCATTTGGACCAAAAATGCGCACGAATCAGGCTTTTCTCTTTGCAAAAAAGCTTTATCAGAGTTTTGCGAACTCTGTCAAAGGAAGAAGTCCGGTCAGAAAAAACTGCAGATATAAACTAAACTTTTACATGTGTGATATTAAAACTCTACTTACCACATGAGCCCAGCTGAAAATCAGAGCTTTATGTTGATCAGAGGTGGGTAAAATACCTGTTAGGACTGCTGACGTCACTGCCTCCCTCCTTTGCAAACATCTGTTTGTCTCCTTATTAATATCTCCTTTAATATTTCAACTTGAAATTTTAATCAATTAGCTGTTATACCTAAATAATGTATTTTGTTATTGTTTAAGTTGCAGTACTTTTTTTCTTGGGATTTCTCCACATAAAAAAGCTGAGCAGCTGTAAGTTTTTATATTGTAGTATGTTTATTTACATGGGGTAACTCAAAGTGCTTTTGGTGGTAAAAAAAAAAAAAATGAAAAAAACTAAAAAAAACCTTTTAAAAAATCCACCCATAAAGTGTGAGAAATTTTAATTTGCTTAAACATTTATTCAACTCTCACAATGATCAAAAGATTTTTAGAGTTTTTTTTAACCAAATAAAACAAAAGTCGATGTATTGTGAATTATTACACTTTAAAGGTTGAAAGCATTTTATCTTCTAAGGCTTAATCTTAGTGCTTTTGTAAAGATTTTCCTTGAAAAAGGCATACATACTTAAAGAAATAAATTTAGGGCTAGAATTAAGCATTATAGACCTAACATGTTTAAATTGATGTTTCAGCTAGTTTGAAATGTGGTTGTGGAGTTTGGAAAGGTTATGAACAGTCAGTATCTTACCTGTTGTAGATAGCTCCTTGAGCTACATCAGTTTGGGAAAAACCCTGAAGACCCACTGTCCTGCATGTTTTGTTTTTCCATGCTTCAACTCATCTGACTGAAATTATTGAGTGATTGACAGGTTTCTGCTGATCTTGACAACATTCTGAGTAGATTTATTCATTTGAATCAGGTGTGCCGAAGCAGGGAAACAGCAAAAACATGCAAGACAGTGGGTCATGAGGAACGGGGTCAAAGACCTGTGGTCTAGACCAGTGGTTCCCAAACTTTTTATCTTCTGACCCACAAAATATCCATGGCAAAAACTTGTGACCCCAAAAAATATTACTGGTCTGAGTACATAAACTTCATTAATAACCCCAAAAACACAGGCTTTTGACAATCTAAACAGCTTACACTCACCAGCCACTTTATTAGGTACACCTGTCCAACTGCTCGTTAACACTTAATTTCTAATCAGCCAATCACATGGCGGCAACTCAGTGCATTTAGGCATGTAGACATGGTCAAGACAATCTCCTGCAGTTCAAACCGAGCATCAGTATGGGGAAGAAAGGTGATTTGAGTGCCTTTGAACGTGGCATGGTTGTTGGTGCCAGAAGGGCTGGTCTGAGTATTTCAGAAACTGCTGATCTACTGGGATTTTCACGCACAACCATCTCTAGGGTTTACAGAGAATGGTCCGAAAAAGAAAAAACATCCAGTGAGCGGCAGTCCTGTGGGCGGAAATGCCTTGTTGATGCCAGAGGTCAGAGGAGAATGGGCAGACTGGTTCGAGCTGATAGAAAGGCAACAGTGACTCAAATAACCACCCGTTACAACCAAGGTAGGCAGAAGAGCATCTCTGAATGCACAGTACGTCGAACTTTGAGGCAGATGGGCTTCAGCAGCAGAAGACCACACCGGGTGCCACTCCTTTCAGCTAAGAACAGGAAACTGAGGCTACAATTTGCACAAGCTCATCGAAATTGGACAAGAGAAGATTGGAAAAACGTTGCCTGGTCTGATGAGTCTCGATTTCTGCTGCGACATTCGGATGGTAGGGTCAGAATTTGGCGTCAACAACATGAAAGCATGGATCCATCCTGCCTTGTATCAACGGTTCAGGCTGGTGGTGGTGGTGTCATGGTGTGGGGAATCTTTTCTTGGCACTCTTTGGGCCCCTTGGTACCAATGGAGCATCGTTGCAATGCCACAGCCTACCTGAGTATTGTTGCTGACCATGTCCATCCCTTTATGACCACAATGTACCCAACATCTGATGGCTACTTTCAGCAGGATAATGCGCCATGTCATAAAGCTGGAATCATCTCAGACTGGTTTCTTGAACATGACAATGAGTTCACTGTACTCAAATGGCCTCCACAGTCACCAGATCTCAATCCAATAGAGCATCTTTGGGATGTGGTGGAACGGGAGATTTGCATCATGGATGTGCAGTCGACAAATCTGCGGCAACTGTGTGATGCCATCATGTCAATATGGGCCAAAATCTCTGAGGAATGCTTCCAGCACCTTGTTGAATCTATGCCACGAAGAATTGAGGCAGTTCTGAAGGCAAAAGGGGGTCCAACCCGTTACCAGCGTGGTGTACCTAATAAAGTGGCCGGTGAGTGTATATGCAAATATAAATACTTATTTATAATTTTTTGTGTTTTTTAAATTGTTTTAGGGAAAATATTACATCAGCAATTATTTTATTACCCTTTAAATTGATTTCTGGAGATTATCCAAGGTGCTTCATGACCCATAATTGGGTCTCAAGCCCAACTTTGGGAACCAAAGTGCAGTGGTTCCCAAACCTTTCAGCTTTTGACCCACAAAACAGTAGCAGAGACCTGTGGCCCCAGCTATTTTTGGATGATAAACATTTGTATCAGGTCAACTAAACATAGGCATAGTAACAATATTTTTATACTACATTTATCCATTTTAAATACACTAACCTCACTCCTTTGTAACAAATAAGGCAAAAATGTAATTAATTCTGAAAACCTTTTCAGAACCCCACCTTGATGTTTCGGGATCCCACTTTGGGTCCCGACCCCAACTTTGGGAAACACTGATCTAGAGCTTAGTGGATGAAGTTTACGTCACAGGTAGAGCAGACATGGAAGGCATGAACAGGCATGTTTTTGCCCTCAKTCTGCCCAGACTGATGAGCTAATGCTAATTCCAGCAGGGCCAAGGACGAAATGGTTCACTGCCATCTTAAAACAACTCTAAATTTAAAAATAGTTTATTCAAATTCTGTCTTATAGACCTTTACATTCCTGACAACGTCAGAGCTACAGCTAAAATGTGTGTTTTCTGGAAATGTTTGCAAAATCAAACACATTTCAGCCCATTCCGCAAATCATGAAAAATGTCATGTTTTTGAACTGCGAATGATTTTCACAATTTGTATTTTATTTTTCTTCTTTTTCTTATTTTTMCTCTGAGAACAAACCAAATGTTGTCCTCAGTATCGACCAAGAACAGGAGATTTTCTGCTGAAAATACGACAGCACACACCTGGGTGTTTCTGCCTTCTATAAACACGACTTCCAGTTGGGGGGAGAAAAAAGTTTTTATTTTTCTGCTTTTACTGAAATGTCACATGCATACCTTCACTCAAATGTAATTATTTTCACAGTGAGGGGCCAACACTAAATGTACTGGACGGGGTGTCTTACTCACTCATTCATCCTCCTGCTGATGCAAAGCTGCAGGCCGTACGATGTTTCCGCTACCAGGGCGAAATTATAACTTCAAAAACGTTGAACACGAAGCACCAAATGATGTGCTAGGAGATTTCGTGGAAGCAAGATAGTGAGGTGACGAAAGAAAACAGCAAGTGGCTCAATTCTTAAAGTAAAGCAAATTAATGTAACAGACATTAGCAGAAACCTTTTTAGTCAGAACAGAAAACACATTTATCTGTAGATAAAACACAAAATTAGCTCTGATGTTCTTTATGGTCACCTTATAACATCAAGTAATATAAAAATGTTTATGGACTTATTATTGCTGGCTGCCTTTCATGCAGTGTTTTAGACTAGAACCATCTTATGATGTGAAATGAAAAAAAAAGTATCTGTTTTGGTCAAATCTTGAAAATAATGTTATCAGATTTTAGCTCAGTATTTGTAAAATTGACTCAGTTACTTTTGTGTTGGTTTCAATCAGCTGTGGCAGCCATCTTGAATTGAACTGATTCTCAAAGTTAATCAGTCGGCAAATAGTTGATCCTGCACACTGAGTAACGCTTGGAGCATCTGTTGCAGCTACCACACCAAATTGTGGCCATGCAGGCATAAAACCTGTAAAGAAAAATAAGAAATTACAGAGAGTGTGAGGAAAAAAAAGCAGCTCAGAGATTAAAAGTGCTCAAAATTAAAGAGTACAGATTTTTTTAATCAAACTGATTTATTTGCTCCTGGAAACAGTGAACATGAGAAAATACTGTTTACAAAGTATATGGTCATTTATGTCAKAGTTTGAATCTTAAAGTCTTATTTCCTCAAGTATTTAAACTAAAACTGTCACAAGAGTTGAATTTCATGCATGAGTTGATTCTTTTCATTGTTGTTTCTGACATGAGTCATTGACACAAAGTCCTGACTATAAATGTCAAAACTGAATAAAAAAAAAAACAACTGTKCTCTTCTGACTCAACTGTATGTTCTTTATATTTATAAAGTTATGTCTGAAGCAGGCTGCAGCTTTTCATTGTTTGAGCGTTAGTTCCTTTCATATCGGATCAGATTTTAGTACACTTCTGTAGAACAAAAACTTAAATGCTAACGCACTTACAGGTTTTGGAAATTCATAAAAATTGTGAAGGAAATTGCTGGGAATAAAAAATAAAATAAAATTACCAAGCAACTCACATTTTATAGTTGGATTACTATTATTTTATACATTTAAAGTATAAAAATGCATGTTCAAACATGAACACATTGGAAGAGTTAAGAACTGTGTCCAAAAGTAGGTCAATAAAAAGTAAGTTTATTTTTGTTATGGCAAAATCCTTGCTAAATCTATGATGTTTTCCAGTTTATTTTTTAGTTCCTTTTTGTTTCAGTGTTCTTGGATTTTTGTGTACTGTTACTTCATGATTCATCCAGTTTGTGTTCTTGTGTTTTGGCTTCTTTGGGTTCCCTGTGTCATTTTTCATTTCTCCCTCAACTCTCAGCATTTTTCCAGTCATTCTTGCCACTCCCCAGTCAGCTCAGCTCATCAGACATGTCTCCTGCCTTCACAGCAGCAGATCATTGTAAAGCACTGGATTGCTTTGTGTTTCGCTCCTTAGGCCTCACATGTCCACCTGCCTGCTTCTGTTTAAGGTTTTTTGCTGCTCGGTCAGCATGACATGCAAAATCCATTTTGTTCAATAACGACACTATTTACTGTGGAGCTACTAAACAAGGTCATGAACTTCTGGCTTATCAATTTCACAAATCTGCATCCTCATCTACATTGTCCTCTGGCTYTGGGTCAGACTCTGGCTCCAACATGTAAGGCTGGATGGACAAGTCTTCTGTTGTTGTCACCCTTTAACCAATTTGTAAATAAAAACTTTCTGCCCCGCTACATAATCGTATTTCTATCAAACTWCRAAAATGGYGAAAAACGGGGTGGAGCAGACAACAATCATTGACCTGGAGGTGGGTGGGGTGTAAAGTGCRTCATTTGTATTTAAAGAGGCAACACCAAAATGAGTTGATGTCAGACCCACCTCAGAACAGGAGTGAAAGAKGGGGCTTGTGGAGCTACAMCAGGGGATTCAGACCAAAGCCTTACAGTTCCTCTTTACATCGACCCCAACTGAATAACTGAAATGTGAAAAATGATAAAAATACATGATATGTCTTGTTAAGTTCATCCTCTGAGTCCCCGTGATTCTGCATTCTGGGTTCAACTACATCACTCAAAACTTATGCCCAAAGAAAAAGCAAACATTTTAAAGCAAATATGCCCCAATTCTAATCGAACCATCAAGCACTCCATTCCATGCCTTTTTTTTTCCTGTTTTTGGTGCATTTTCATTGCAGCACTAGGGCGCAACCTACAGCCCTGGCATAGCTACTACAGCATGGTCATTTTCCTGTGGATGAATCTTCTAGAAGTGGTGTCAGGTTTTAAAAATTTTTTAGAAAAAGACAAATAAAAATTGTTTTGTGTAGTTCTCTAAAGTGACCACATGAAAAAAAGATGTGTTTGTTTACTTCATTCTGTGTTCCAGTGTTGTATAAAGTACCACAAAGTGATACTTAAGTAAAAGTACAAGTATCTTACCAAAAAATTTACTTTGGTAAAAGTTAAAGTCTCCTTTAGGAGTATTACTTGAGTAAAAGTCTTAAAGTATCTGATATGTTTTGTACATAAGTATTAAAAGCAAAAGTAATGATTTAAAATGAGCAGTTAGATTTTCTGTAAGGACATTTTTTAGAAGGTGACCTCAGAAATGACAGAAATGACTGTCACATTAAAACTATTAATTTATGTTAAATTTAAGATGCACTAGTCCAGTTGTTTCAGTTTATATACATATATGAAGGGTGACCAAACCTTTTCTCCAAAATGAAAATCTATCTGAGGGCTGCAGCCAAATGCAATAATATAATTCATGAAATACAAATACTTAAGTACAGTCCTTTTAATTTTAATGATTATGTCATTCGACAATGATTATAATCATATATATGATTATATTAATGATTATGATCACCACGCAAGACTCCACTGCTGAAGAAACAGCATGTTGAAGCTCCTTTAAAGTTTGCTGCACAACATTTARACAAGCCTGTGAAATACTGGGAGAATATAGTCTGGTCAGATGAGACCAACATTGAACTGTTTGGATGCCAGAATACACATCATGTTTGGAGGTCAAATGGCACTGCACATCAGCCCAAAAACACCATACCAACAGTGAAGTTTGGAGGTGGGAACATCATGGTGTGGGGCTGTTTTTCAGCATATAGTACTGGCAAACTTCAAATAATTGAAGGAAGGATGAATGGAAAAATGTACAGAGACATTCTTGATAAAAATCTGCTTCCATCTACCAGGATGATGAAGATGAAACGTGGCTGGACATTTCAGCAAGACAATGTAACCAAAAACAAAGTCAAGGAAACTCTCAGTTGGTTTCAGAGAAAGAAACTAAAGCTGCTGGAATGGCCCAGCCAATCACCTGACCTGAATCCAACAGAAAATCTGTGGAAAGAACTAAAGATCAGAGTTCATAGAAGAGGTCCAYGAAACCTTCAAGATTTGAAGACTGTTTGTGTGGAAGAATGGGCCAAAATCACACCTGAGCAATGCATGCCACTAGTTTCTCCATACAGGAGGCGTCTTGAAGCTGTCATTGACAACAAAGGCTTTTGTACAAAGTATTAGATAAATTTCAGTAAGTGTGTTCAATACTTTTTCCCTGTGCCATTCCACATTATTACAAATAACTTCATTTCTGGACATTTMTGGTTTGATTTCTTTGTATGTATGGATCACTTGGGTTGTTACCAACATCTGGTGAAAATTTCATGTCATTAGCACCTCTAGTAAAATATTTACTGAAAAAATGTTAACGTGTTCAATACTTATTTTATTTTGTATCTAACTAAATGCACCTCCTGCCCCGTGTAGCCATATTTGATAGCCACACAGACCAGTCTGTACATAAAATTGTCATTTTAATCATGAAAATAATCACACAATAGTTTATAAAAATATATCATGATTCACTTAAGAAAAAACTACAAAATGTGTGGTGCTTTTAAAAGTAAACAAACCCCAATAAATTTCTTCACACATAAAAAGTGACAAAGGCTTGGATAAAATTTGTCAGTTGTTTATTGATGGGTCCAACTGTACATGATGGAGTGAGAGAGGGATACCAGACAATGAGCAACATGGAGGATTACGATGCCAGCGCCATGGCAGCACCTGGACGACACCAACTATCAGCTGGACTGGAAACAATGGTTCTGAACCAGGAAACTGTTCAGACACCATACACTCTGTGTGTCTATCTGTGTCTGTGTGTGGTTTAAAAATTTCAAACTGGATGGAAAAAACACACAAAACATGACTCTTTCATTTCCACAAATGGGAAAAGGGTGCTCTCCTGTTTTGAACTGGAACTTTTTTTTTTCACTTTTTAAGTTTTACATCCATCCTCCATTTGAAGAGAAATGAAAAGAGTGGCCAAATAGAAAATATTGAGCTGATCCGTGGATGATTTCGTTATTCCATGTCTACGTTGTTGTCACTATTACCCTTTCTTTTGTGCAATATCTCTTTTTTGCATAGTAAATAAAAGTTAAATGTCCTTGTTGTTGACATGCACCTACCTTTTGTAGCATTTTTTTTCTTGCAGATTTTTGGGGACTCCCATATAGAATTATAAGCCCACTATAGTGATTGCATGCAGCGTTACCAAAGGAGCTGAATTTGATTCCTACCAAGAGTTTATGAGAGCAAAAGGCTAAGCCAGAAAAAAAGAGTGGGTGTTGATGAGGACTGTCAGGAGACCTGGCTGGACTGGTGAGCGCCTGCACAGACAGACTTCATGCCCTCAGCAGACAGAGAGGCACCGCTGGCTGCAGACAGAGGAAAGGGAAAGTGCTCTGTGTGCAACAACATCCATACGTTCAGGTGATTGGTTCTTTGGCTTTGGAGTCACCGTTGGAAATACTTCTGGGGGGGATCTCGTCACCGCCACAGCTGCTCTGCTGTGAACCTTAACTTACTCCCATCCTTTCGGCCCAAATCACACAAGCAATTAATGTTCGGTTACGTTGCAAAATAAACTGCCTAAAATAGAAAAGAAAAGCAGCTGAAGTCCTTGTGAAACACGATGTYAGTTACTAACCTGAACTCCTTATTAGTGTACAGTTTTTGTGTGTGTCTACACTATCTGCACTGTCCTTGCATGCAGCCCCTGAACATGACCTGTAGGAGTTTTAACTGGCTTTCCAGTGGGTTTGGTTTGTAACGAGGCTTTCTCCTGCAATAGTTTACTTTTTTTGTCTTTTTTGCTTTAAATTGATCGCTTTGGTAGCCATGCCGAGCCCTGCATAGAAGGCTCTTCATGCTAAGGGGGCCAGCAAGCAGCACACTTTGTGTGGATAATCATGCCAGGTGAGAGAATGGTGTGGATTCCGCCTGAACGCCTGTGCACTGGCACTAAAGGAGGGTTGAAGAGCTCCGTCGCTCCGCAGGGATCAGGGTGGAGACGTCGGGGTGGGTGTTTACATCGGAAGTTGAAAAGGCTGCGTTTATAATGTCACTACAATGGAATCTGTTAAGATGTCCACTATGTCTTTTTCAAGTAAAACTAACGACAAAAATCAGCAGCAATAGGTGCAGTCCAGCTGTCAGGTAAAAGCCTTGCAGAAGTCCAGCGACATCATCACCTCCATTAAATGGCCTGGGCGTTGGGGTCGTAACGCCGTTTCTTGACATTTCTTATGTAGAAAAAAAGAAAAAAGTAGTCAGAATCACCAATAAATACTTGTGCAACACAGATAGTCCAACCTGAACAAACAGCCACACCGATTTACAGTTTAAAAGAGTTGCACTGATAAAATAAATAGCACAATTAACATTTTGAAGCTTTATGTTTTTGAAAGATTCTAATCATGAATGCCGAATTGTTCCAAGTCTTTACATATACATGCTGTGTGTATATATAAATATTTAAGTGTTGAAGTAATTTTAGGCTGGTCCATGTTGGGCAATTCAGCCTTGACTGCAAAGAGACGGGCAGAGGTATTTATGATCACAGGGCCAGTTCCAAACTTTTAAAGTTGGGTTTTTTGTCTTTGAAAAGAGGGTGAACAATTAACATCTTAGTCGTTGTAGACAGCTCAATAAATGATCTCAGTTTACTTTTTCTAGACTTACTTTTTAAGCTTAACAGGAGTTGAGTCTTCTGAAGACAAAAAAAAGTCCACTTCGGTCTTGGAAAAGATTATTCTTTCTCAGTMTTGTCAGAAACTTTTAATCTGTGTCCAAATTCAGGGTCTTCATCCTCCAAAGGCCGAATCTGAAGGCTGATCATTAGGGGTGGGAATCTTGTACTATCTCACGATTGGATTCAATTCTGATTGTGGGTGCCAAGATTCGATTCAAAATTAAACTTTCAATCAAAACTAATAATGTGAGCCCATTTGTCGTGTTCGCAAAGTGCTTCATCTTCATTTTGCAAACCTCGCACACAGTGTAGCTCATGTCACACTCGGACACTAATCTTTGCCTCCAATGAAGACGGGAGCCGTCGAATCTCTCGTTCCTCCAGTTTTGTAGTTTCCTCTTTGTTTTGGTGCTTTCTGCGAACACATACGTTCCAGAAGCAGCTGTGTGGTGACATTCCACGTAGTTACAAAATGGAGGCTGATTGGATTTGCTTTGTTTTTTAAATTTTTTTAACGATTCTGGAACATTTTAAATCGATTCTGAATCTTTGTAAATGAGAATCTTGATTCTGATGTGAATCGATTTTTTTTGGTACACTCCTACTGATTATGTCACAGCGACGCAACAAAGACTGACAAAATTTGAAGGCCCACAGATGCGTCTACCTTTTCCTCCAATTTGAAAGACTGGTCTGGTGGATCCTTCTCAGCCCACCCTGTTCCAAGATGCATTATGGGCCGACAGAGAAATTGTTTTTGCTTGCAATGGTTGACGAAGCGAGAGACAAGAGTAGGGTTTTAAATAAAAATCTGGCTGTATAAAACTTGAAAGTTTAAAGCGTTTGTGTTGTTAGGCTTTTGTTCTTTGCATTGACAAGTTTTTAATATTATTCTTGTCAAAAATAGTGAAGGAGATCATGTGGTGGGTCCCTCAGTTCTTCATGTACTGCATCTAAGCTAATTTTGTTAATGTATAATATTACTATATTTCAGTTTTCATTGCTTCTGTTTAGCGCCGTCACAGGGCATGCACCAGAGTGAGGGTGAGATTAAAGCTGAAGGCTAGACCACCCAAAATCACAGCCACTCACTTCCAGTCCTTGCAGTCGACTAAGGAACTGGGCGGGTTCTTTAAAGCAGGGGTTCTCAAACCTTTTGGGTCTGAGGACCACTTACAAGTGTGAATTGTTTCCAGGGACCCCCTCATAAACCCCATGCTGTTTTTAGAAATAATTTACTGTCATTTTCACCCCTAAATATTATGAGAATATTATGTTTTTGTTTGGTTTAGTATGTTTGTTTTACTAGTGCATTGTTCCTCATGTTCATTTTTCAAATAAAATCCAAAATAACCATTTATTGAAAAATTTTGAGGACCCCCAAGACAGGGCTCGTGGACCCCTGGGGTTTCTGGGACCCCAGTTTGAAAACCTATGCTTTAAAGGACACAGACCCTGAAATTTGGACACATTTTCTCTAAAATGAGGTCCATCAAAGAGCTATCAACAACAGGTAAGATACTAACAATTCATAATCTCTTCACAAAACGCCACATTCAAAGATTTGACAAACTGTTTTTGTCACGTTTCAACACGACTGAAATGTTGCTTCAGTGTTACATTTATCAGTGTGAGGACTGTGACCTCAGTTCTGCCACTAACAGAGTCATCTTTCCGTGACAACGTAATACATAAAGCTTTCTGAATATTAATATCCTCTGTTGCCTTTTTGCAGACAAACACGGCTTGTGTTCGTGCAACACCAGTTCACACAGTCAAGAGTAGGAGACGAATTTTATTACCAGTTTTGATGGGGAAACACATGATTCCACTCAAAACATAACCATCTGGGAGGAAAGAGCTAACATAAAATGTACTCTACAAAGGAGGAGAATAGGAGACAACCACATCAACGACGACAGCAGCGGCAGAAGCAACAATCACTACTCAAAAAACAGCGGGACAACAACGAGTACGACAACAGGAGTGATGCATAACCTCCCCGTACTGGTGCTTGTTGTGGGGCTTCTATCACTCTGTCATGCACCTGTTCCAATAGTAAGCCAGTTAAAGGTGGCACTATTGCTGTGCAGTGGTTCATGCAGTGCAGTGCGTCGTGTCTGTACCAGGTCTGTGAAGCAGGCAGCAATGGCAGCCAGTTGTGGGCAGGTCCGAGTCTGGCCATCCAGGCGGGTGTGGCCAGCCATGCCACAAAGGCTGCAGGCACCAAAAAGGTCCTGGCTTCTCTCTGCCTCGCTCTCACCACTCCGTTTAAGGGCTCAGCCTCAAACGTATCAAAGAACAAAAAAAATAAAAAAATAAAAAAATATAAAGAAAAACCATGGAAGTGATGAGAGGGCGACAACTGCGGACCTGATCGCTGTGGGTTTGGCTCAGCCTTTGTGCAATGAACTGACCTCCAAGTCTCACAAGTCAACATGCAGACATGTTTCGGTTCTTAATCTGTTGCTTTTTCTTCTGGTTTTGCTTTTTTTCTGTAATAACCATGATGCTTTTTGTTGTTTTTTTTTTGCATGCTTTGGTGGCTGCAGGATTTTAACTCTAATTTAGTCCATAGGTCTGCTTAGTGTAAAGTTTTGTAACAGCCCTGCTGCTCAAGACAGCAGGTTCATCAGCATTAGAATAAAGCTCAAAGTATTTCCTCTCTACTAAAATTGAAAGCTTTTTTCCGTTGTTTGTATATTTAAACAGCTTAAAAAGTTCCTTTTCTTCTGCTTTGGAATAATCTCATGCATGTCAAGCACTGAGCTCTGCCCCTCCAATCAGTTTGAGGTTCTGCTACAAATGCATAAACCTCCCCCCCAGTGTTCAGAACAAAAACTTCACATTTAAACCCACCGACCAGATCTTAGAGAACCAGCACTTCAGGAAAGCACATGCTCTTCTCAAGTGCGCCTTTAATACGATTTTGTGATTTTGTCTTGTCCAATCAGGAGCCATATTCTGTAGCAGAAGCTCAAACCCTGGTGTCTAGAAGCAGCAGGGATGCTAGAGTTACAGCAGGAGAGGCATGCGACGTGTTGCTTACTTAAAGCCCCATCCAGTCCCCCCCAGCACTATGGCAGCCACAAGGATGGCTCCGGCGATGGAGCCTATTATTAGATTGGTGGCACTAGGACCTGTGAAGGGTTATGGGGGGAAAAAGACATGAGTTTCTAGACTCACCTACTGTAGCAATAACATGGAGCTACACAATAATGATTTCACACGGAACAGAAAACATACCATAAGAGGTTACAGGTAATCTAAAACACTACTTTGCATGCGTTTTTTTAGTCCCCTTTAATATGTGAGGTGGATTTGAGTGTCATCAGTCCAACGCCAAGGAGATACAGTATTTATACTGATCTGGTGTCAGTTTAGGTAGAAATTATTAGTATAGGTTTCTGTTAAAGGGATAGTTTGGACTTTTTAAAGTGGTGTTCTGTGGAGTTATACTTGCAAAAAAGGAGAAAAAGCAATAAGTCCCTATTATTAGTTTGGAGTATCGGGGAATTGGTGGCACAGCAAGATTCTGCAAGCTTAAAAAAATGCTAATCATGTGAGCACTACCTCATATACTTCTACATTGCTATTGGTTTTGCATTGCATTAATTAATTCAGCAGAAATATGAGCATATTCCTGTAGGAAGTGAGTAGATGTAGCATTTTAAAGGAGACCAATTATGGGTCCTAGAAATTGTTATGGTATGTCTGTGGGCTATCCAGACCATGTTCATTCAATTTAATGCACAAAATAATTCTCAGATAATAAAATTTCCCATTTTCTAGTTCTGCCTGCTCTGACTTCCGTTCAGAAGAGCTGTTTATGTTAATGAGCTCTGTTGGTAACGCCCTCCAAAAATCTGTTGACATTAACTCCGCCCTCCAAAGCCAGGTTTACGTTAGCATGGCTAATAGTAGCAGAAGCTCCGTTGTACAACCATATGAGACCCAGAGGCAGAGTCGTGGTGGCAGCTTCTTTTTTTCCTCCCCCTCCTCTGCTCTGCGTTCACTCTGCATGCTGTTACCAGAGCAGGGAGCAGCAGCGGTCAAAATACTTCAGAAACTCGAACAAATAGGCTTTAACAAGGCTTTAATAAGCTAAACAATAGAGGTACATGAGAAAACGTGTTCATAACAAATGAAAATAAATAATTAAATTGTATGTGTCCATGCCGGTCTCAAACCCTGGTCTCCCACTCTCTGGTCCAACGCTCTACCCATTGCCCTATTGGAGGCTTGTTGTGAAATGAGCTGCACATTACACAACAACAACCGTGACAGCTTTTTATACTGAGGAGGTGGAGCTTCACCCGGGGGTTGCTAGGTAAGGGGCTGAACGCAGGTTCCGGTGGGTTGTCGTACGGCTTGTGACATCACAAAATGACAGAAGTATAAAACTTGTCGTTAATATACATTAAAAATACATTTACTTACAGTAAATATGCCCCTGGGTGCATTTTTTGGTCCTAGGACTGTTTTTTTAAGAAGTACATACCCAAAGTTGAGTAAAAAAAACTTTAAAAAGTGAATTTTGCATAATAGGTCCCCTTTAAGATGTCGCTCAGATTAGCCTTCTTTCCCCAGACAAAATTAAGTCCTATTTCTACAATCGGAGCTCATTCAAAGAACTATTTTAACCTTTCTACAGAACACCACCTCAAAAGATCTGAACTATTGCTTTAAGGTTGTCCAAAGGACCTGATCCTGAGTATCCATTGCTTGAAAAAAGGTTTATTCAAACAGCTGGCTGGTTGCAGTCCAAAATGGTTTTAGGTAGTCCCAGTCACCACACAGCCTCCAAACTGAAGGACAAGCCAGGTAACTAACTGGACACTTTGCAGGACTGTTTTCATCTAAACGCCCCACATGCCCCAGAAAGGAGAGGATCACAGGAGCAACCACATGACAACTGAGAGTAGAGAGAGGGATGAGAGAGAGAGCGAGAGAGAGAGAGAGAGAGAGAGAGAGAGAGAGAGAGAGAGAGAGAGAGGCAATGAGGAACAACAGGAAGTGGCTGGAGAAGAGGAGGAAGGAAGGGGTGACAATCTGTCAATCAAACACACGACACCAAAAACATTCAATCACATGACAATTAAATGGTCATCACCAACACACAAGAAAACACAAAGCCACCGGGACGCACACACGGGCTCAGGCCGGCTCACGAGACCGCCCGCACACTGAGGCACCACTATGAGAGGAAGAGCTGTGAAAGGGTTAAAGATGCTTACTCTATTCCCCACCCTGTGCCTCCAAAAATCACCCCCAGGGCCAGAATGGTCCCTGCTACTGCCCCTATCAGCCTGTTAGTGGCCACGCTCACTGTGCAGAGGGAAAAGGAGCATTATTACCACCCTGTTACAAACAAACAGCAGCCTTGTGGGTGAACCTCCTCCTTGAAGCGCCTCGTGTTCGCTTCAGCTGTCACTTCATTCAGAATCAAATGAAACAACTCTAGCACTGTTTTTACATCTCGTCTAAACCACTTACTTTAAAACCCGGGTACACCTGAGAAATTCCCGTCTCAGGTAATCCAAAATTTAGCATCGTGTGATCGTTACTAAATTCAGTTAATGACAGCAGAGGCTGGCAGAGGAAGAAACCAACCCTTGGGTTCTTCATCCGGCGCGACGTCGGGCTCTTTGGGCGGGTCGGGCATGCTGCAGTCTGTCCCGGCCCAGGTGTCGTCGCAGGTGCACGTGGCTTCGTTGTTGCACACCTGTACGGGTCGGACACAGATGACATAACCAGCTTCTAATCAAAGGTGTTTTTTAAAGCTTGCAGGCGGTACAATTCTCAAATAAAGATGTGCTCACCCCGTGGGCGGAGCACACCTGCCCGTTGGGTCCAATGGGGCAAGAGCTCATGTTGAGCGACTGGATGGGCAGACACTTGCGGTCAAGGCACATCATTGATGGCCCACAGGGAGTCCCATCCTCCACGTAGCCTAAATCAGTGTCGTCGTCCAAAAGGACATGGGCACCCCTGATGAAGGAAGATGGAAATGGGAGAGAATCAAAAACTCTTAAGAGAACTGAACAACAAAATGAGTCCTGGTTGTAAAGATGAACAAAGAAATCAGCTTGTAATCTGTAAATTTGTCTGATTTATTCTGTTTCTTCAAGTAATTGAAAGAAACCAGAGCTGTGCAAGAATCAGACGTCTGTACTGACCCCCAAAACTCAAATCAGCATTCTGCTTAATAATAGGAGTTATAAAAACTAGAGGAGGTGTTTACGTGCACTGTATCACGTTGCCTTGGTGATTGAAGGAGGTGGGGGTGACGTCTCCTTTCATCATTCCGATGCGTGGGATCCGCCCCACGTTAGTGCACAAAAGATAACCGCAGAACACATCGCTGCAACAGAGAAGCAGAGAGACGCATCGCTTTAACCACATTCACTTCTTTTAAAAATAATAAATGTTCAGTCTCATTTAAGTTTGAGCCAGGTTTATGATGCTTAGTAACAATGTCAATGTCAATTTTATTTTTATAGCACATGAAAACAACAGAAGTTGGCCAAAGTGCTTCACAATTAAGCCAACTGAATAAAACAATTGAGCAACACATAAATATAGACAGTAAAAGAAATTTAAAATACAGAAAAACATTAAAAACATTATCATTAAAATAATCTCAAACTCTACCAGAATGAAAGGCCAGGGAGTAAAAGTGAGTTTTACGTAGAGATTTAAAAGTCTCAWCAGTCTCAGCAGTCCGTATGCAAAGACAGAGATTCTTAACCTATGGGCCGCGGCCCAGTTGTGGGCCTCAAGCGCCACCTTGAAGGCCTCAAAAGAACAACAGTTTTTACCTTTGGGCCGCAGAGGGCAGTGGGACCGCATTGATTTTGAATAAGGTGCACTACACTTTCTCACCACTAGTAGTGGTAGTGTGCCACTAAGATGTTTGACAACTTTTTTAATATGTGGAAGCAGAACCATAAAAACCTGCCGAGAATGGAAACTTATTTTAAATGGAAAGTAGAAGCAAAAAGGAAAGTAACTCATCAAAAAACACCAACGTTTGTCACTAATACGAAGTGCAGCGTCTGGTTCTGCAATATTTTAAAAGTTAAAAATATTATCAAATACATGTCCTGATGCATCTCAGTAATCCAGGCAAAAAATCAAAAAGAAAAAAATTGTATAGGTCTTCTGGACGGGTTCTTCTCTAATGAAATGTTTCGTCTCTCCTCCAAGAGACTTCTTCAGTCTGAGAGTTTCAGGCAAAATTCAGGCTTTTAAGCCCTGCCTCCATGTGACTTTTTTTTTTTGTTTTTTTACTTAACTCAAAATGAAAATAGCTTTGAAATCAATGGTAAAAGTTTATGATTAAATTTATTTAAATAAA